GTTTAGGCCTCAGATCTGTCTTACCCAAGTTAAGAGGTACCTGCTGAAAAAAATCAAAGGTGTTCTTCATGTACTTTGGGTAGCTGAGATGGAGTGCATAGGTAAGTCCAAAGACCGTGTACATGGCCTGCGGAAGGTTCTCAACTTCCATCACTACATTTCCCTCCAGGATAATTCCCACTGAGGATACATTATGGTGAATGGACTGCTTGTGTGGAGTTATATTTTCTTGTTCATTGCGGAGGACCCCCACAGGAACATTGTTGTGCACACTTTCTTCATCATTGTCCTGAAAGAAATAACAGTACATGACTTTGTTAACATCTTGCAGTCAACAGCCTTTACTGTTTTGCAGCCCACACGTCTGACCTGTATAGAGTTCACCCCCTGCCTAGTTCAGAAATTAGTGCAAAAGGAGTTAAAAAATGATAAGAGGCACATGATACAGTTTTGGATGGTGCCTTTTTATGTATGCATACAAATCACATCAACATAAATTAAAAAGAACCAGTTAAACAATCCTTTCCTTCTGTGGAGTAAGGAAAATTACAGTTAATAGAGAATAGCTTCTTAAAGTAACTGAAAAATAGCTTTTCTAACCAAGCAAGATAACTAACAGGCTAACATTAGCTAAGTAGCCTTTGCTAAGTACTGCAGCAAAACAAGAGATTAAACTTACCGTTTTGTGGCTGAACTCACTTCATTCACCGAGTGCTTTAAATCTCTGTGGAATGACTTCCTTGTTATAAGTTGTTGAAGATCTCAATAACGCTGTCGTCTGTTTTGTCTCAAAATGCTTCGGAGTTCCTCAGTGCCAGCTTTTCTATTTCACTCGCTCAAAACTGGTCTAAACCGGATTTTTCGCGGGCAGGTGGATGACGTGAGAGGCAAACTAATGATATTGAGTTGTCTGAGCTCAAATACATAATTACAATAAGCTAAATCATTGGAAAGTGGTGTTTACTCAGAAAAAATAGTTAATATAAAGAATTTAGTGATACTAACTTAGTTTGTTTAAGTCCAAACCATTGACTGTACTTAAAAATATAATTACACTGAAAAAGGACATAAAAAAGTTCAGCTTAATTGAAATAAACAAGTAATGTCAGTAAATTAGACCTCTCTAAGTACTATGAACTCAGTTTCTTTGAGTACAAACAAAATCTGGGTTTACAGTGTAATATCTCCCCCATTCAATAGAGGCACCGCTGCTAATTCTAAGCGGATCCTGATTGATATTAGCAGCAGAAGTAATTCTTCCTCTGCAGAACTTTTCTGCTGAGCTCAAAAGGAGATATGATGGGAAAGTGGAGGTGAGCGGAGTCGGCCCCCACCCCGTCTTCAAACTAATTGGTTTCAAACGTTTGTGCAGCAAAGATTTTTCAGGTATTTCCAAAGTTTCCCGGGGTCACTAAAGGTCAACAGGCCAATCACTGCCCAACCCAAACAAAAGTAGTGACACTCAGTTCTGTTACCTTTATGCTGTTTTTTTTGCAATTGTTTTTCTTGTTTTTTCCCCATTTAAGTTCCTTTGAAATTGTAATTGATTGGTGTCTACAATAAAATATTTTATGAGTTGTTGTTTTATTATCTAAAATGTCTTAGAGGAGAACAATCATTTAAGGTTCACCGTTTTTCTGCCATTTTTGTGAAATAAGCACGAGCAGACATTGAAAGTGTTTGTGCAAATTGGACAATGATGATCAAAATGAAAGGTGTTAGTTATTTTTATTCAAACATTATACTTTTTTCCACATTTTTTGGTTTTATTCAGGTTGGAATTTATGTGTTCAACCTATCTTTAGGTTAAACCAACTAATCTAATTTGGCAGTGTTTTTACCAAATCTATATTTGTACTAGAGCAAACCAAAACAAATTAGTCACATTTGCCAAAATATTTGTTAAGGATTATCACAACTTTCAAAAGTCAAAGGTGGAACACAGCCCCATTCTCCAGATAGAGAAATGTTAATAGAATAGACATCCATGATCTGTTCTAGGTTGTGTCCCTCTCTTCTTGTCCCTTTTCTTCTTGTTTTCCTCTCTATGTTTTGTACTCAGCTGACTTTTCATGCTGTCTCTAAAGGAATGAAAGATTTTTTCCAAGCACTAAGCTCACTTAGCTGATTGCTCCTTCCTGTGTTTCCAAAAAGGCCAAAGTAAATAACCCAGTCCTTCTTTTCACTGTAGACAAGCCATGATCTGCTTATCTGTTCTCCATTTTTCATTTGGATGAAATAATAGCTGCATGAATCATGACAGCAGACAAGATAGAGGAGAGCAGGAGGCGGGGTTACCAATCTACTCGCTCTGGAGAGCAGAGTTCGCTGCTTTTAGATGTTGTCTCCAAAGTCTCCAGTAGCAGAAAAAAGTCTCTAGATTTGGCGCTAGGAGCTTTTTAGAAATCAAAGTGCTAGAGGGGTCTGAAAAGTGGCTAAATATAGCGACTAAAGCGCTAAGTTGGCAACACTGCTCTTTGCATCGTTTGTTTTCAAATGGTTTGCTGCTGTCTGTTTGGACCTTTCTGAACATGTGCAGCAGATGGACTGATCCAATATGGTGGACACTGAAGGGGGGGCTGAGACACACTTAATATTATCAGCGTTCTGATTGCATTTTAGCGAAAGGATTTTTATCAAAAACATAATTAATGTGCAGAAATAAGGAATATTTGTACTAACCATTCATGTGAACATACTAGGCAGCTGCTTAGTGTTGCCTAAGGTAAGCAGTACTACTTAACACTAATGTTACAACTGTAACCAGTGGCTTGCAGATTCTGATCATTACATTGTTTAATCTAACCAAAATAATTTTAAAGCTGAAGTCTGTAAGTTTTTAAAAATCACTTTTTTGTCATATTGGCTAAAACTGTCCCTATGCCCAGACAGCAGTACATGTGATATGTAACCTGTGAAAAAAACTGCTTCAATTGGTCCCGCCTACTGCCTGTATTTCAATCTGGAAAGAATAATTCGGGACGAGTCAAAACAACCAATCACAGCCAAAGGAGCGTCTGATGGAGTGTCAATCACAGCTCACACACGCTGAATCCCACCCCCCCCCCCCCTTCTGGTGGCATGCGGTAGCCGCGCAGATGCTGTGAGAGGGGTGGAGCTTGGAGGTGGGGCATGAGTGAAGCAGAGAGGGTGGGGGAGTGGCGTGAAACCTGTTTTTCTTCAAATTTTCAGTCGAAGTCTGCTCTCTCCTCAATGTTACAGACTGCAGCTATTAACCAACTAGATTGGTTGGAAAAACAACCAATCTATTCTTAGAATCTATCCAACTGACAGCAGCTCAACTACAAACTCCCACATCTTGACTGAATCCTGAGGCTGTTTAAATGCTGGTCTGAACCACTTCCTGAAGCAGTCAGGTGGTATTGCCGTAGAGGGGACGTCATCATCTTTGGCCCCTCCCCTAAATGGATCACGCCTCAAAGCCTCGGCTCATCTCATAGCATCACTGCGTCTCTAGATTTGGGTCCTCTACAAAATTCCAGTCATTAAGTCCTACCAAGTGAAATTTGTCTTTCTGCACGGTCAGATTATCACACTTATTATGATTAGAAACGTAATAATCCAACAGAATCTGTTCGACATGTCGGTATATTGAGCTGAAACTGGGTAAAAGGTCGTCAGATTTGGTTGGATGCAGAAATTATATTAGATTACTGCAAATGATTTGCTTCTTTCTGTGATAAAAAACTTACATTTAAAAGTTTTAGATCATTAATTTTGTTTTAGAAGTTAACTGTTTATTTTAAGGGCTTAAATTGACACTGAACTCTAAATTCAAGCAGTCTCGTTAAGAAATCGTTAATCTGGATACATTCTTTCATTTTTAGCTTCCTTTCCTTCAGATTTACAGTTTTAAATCTTGTTTCCAGCCCCTGTTGTTTTGTAGGGTGTTATTCTTTATTATTCCCAGTTCAGCTCCTAAGGTGCGTTCATCCTGAATATGAATGTCGCCCCTGGGGCGAGTCATTTCCATGTTATCTGGATGTAAAGGTGCGTTCAGGAGCGTCTAAACGGCCGGTGATACTAAGGACATGTTTAGGTTTGCTGATCAGAGGGAAGCTGCCATCGGTGCAGAGGATGCTCCAATAAAGCAGAACGAGATTAAAGTTCATCCTGAGTGTTTAAAGCAAACCATGTGAGAAGAAATGAGTTGCATTGTCTCTTAGTCACTATTATTATTTTACTATAGAAGAGAAAATCCCTTTATTGTCCCACAATGTGGAAATTCTAGTGTTTAAAGCAGCAAAAAGATTATAGAAAAAAAATGGTCACACAAATATGGACCTTAGAAAAATGTGTAAGAATAACATAATAAGTTAAGAGTTAAAAGATAAACAATCAAACACTGTACTGCAAAGTGTTTCAACAATATAAATAATTTTCACCTGGAGAATAAATAACCAGCTTTTTAAAGTAATGGATGTTTGAAAATAGCAGCAGCATCAGAGATGTGCAGAATGACAGCAGCAGGTTATTTAACTGATTAAGGTAGAAACTGTGCAGAATCAGCATGAATGTGAAAACATGTTGTTGGGAAAAGTGGTGGTTCTAGAGTCTTCCAGCTGCTGGGAGGAAGGATCTGTGATAACGCTCCCCGGTGCATTTAAGGTGCAGCAGGCTGTCACTGAAGGAGCTGTCCAGTTCAGCACCAGCTTCATGCATGGGGGGAGGGGACATTATCCAACAGAGATGTTCATTTAGTGAGGATCCGTCTGTTTCCCCCCTCCTGCACTGAGTCCAGAGGGCGTCCAATCAGAGCAGGCCTTTCTGATCAGCTGATCCAGCCGCTTCCTCTCAGCTACAGCTAAGCCACTGCTCCAACAGAACGTTACGTAGAAGATGGAGTCATATTTCACAATATTTTACAATATTTCACTGAAACTGAGAATTATCTGCACAATTCTGAGCTCTAAATACATAATGTATATATTTTTATATTCAAATCTGATTCTTTGCTTTGATTGATGTGTACCCGACAGGCCAACCTGAACGACTCTCATAACCAGATGGTGGTTCACTGGGCTGGAGAGAAGAGCAATGTCATCGTAGCCTTGGCTCGAGACAGCGCAGCAGCGACTGGACCCAAAACCAGTTCTGTAAGTTTCCTTTATACCTTCTAGATCAGCACAATGTCATGAGTTTTCTATTAAATCTTGAACTGTAATTTTCTATGCATCTTTGCAGTTAAAGGTTTTTTCTTTGGTGACAGTCTGAGTTGGTTTCCAACTCTTTCTGACTTTCCTGCTGACAGCTAAGGCCCCTGTTACACCTTGCTGATTTATCCAGCGTATTCCTGACGTCCCAGAATCTCCTAAAACAGTGGCATACGGCAAACTTTCTATGGATTTGTTTTTTTTGGGGGGCGTATAAATGGAGTTTCGTAACGAGTCCAGAACTTCTGTCAAACGACGGCCTAACTTCTGCATAACGCACGGCAGCCTAATGCCCATCGGCATTATGAAACGTCAATTAAAGCTGCTCCCCTGCTGCAGCGATGCGCCCGGAGGCGCCCGGCATGCATAAAAAGGATTTATTTGATCGCGGTATTAACCTAGCTGCTGTTTACCACCTGCACAAAAAACAAGAATAAATAAAAATAAAGAAAGAAGGTTTTTGGTGGCAGCAGATTGAGAGGTTTGTTGGTGGTGGGCGTGAACGCATGCTGCAAAAACGATCTAGAAATAGGTAAAAATTTCTTAAACTAAGTGTATTTACCCTTAATTTGAGTAGGTAAATGAGATGATTTGCCAATGGAAGTCGTATCTTTACTCTTAAAATAAGATGATTAGATAATATGAACTTCTAATAAGACAATGCAATGGTTTTTTCTTATTTCAAATATAAATTGTCTTGTTCCATTGGCAAAGTGTCTCACTTTCGTCCTCAATTCAAGAAAAAATGTACTTATTTTAAGTAAAAAATTACTTGGATTTCCATTTTTTGCAGTGCAGGGAGGATCCATCACTCACCTTCTGGCTCACCCTATGATGGGGATGAAGTCTGGAGGAGAACTGACGGTTTCCTCCTGTGAACCCCCTTTATACCAAAACGCTGCCAATACGCCATTATACAGTAGCTGGAAGTTAGAAACACGTTCAGCGCTCGTCAGGAACACGGCAGATACCTTGATATGCGTTGGAGAGAAGTTCTGGATAAGTTACGCAGAAGTTACTCAGAGGTTTAGGATCAGCTAGACGCCACGACTGATGAGGAACTGACACTGAACGGATGGCAGCCATCAGATAACTGACCTGGAACTGATGGACCACGGATGGCAGACGCTGGAATACGGCGTATTGAGTATTCTCAACGTACCTGCCGTATGTCGACGTGTTTCAGCGTACTCATAACTTATCCGACGTATGGCAGCGTCTTTTCCAGATTTCCGTACGTCAGACATACGCTAGGCTAAATCGTCAAGGTGTGACACGCAGAGCTTTGTTGTTTTCATGTAACGCTTCGCAGAGTTCCCCAAGGATTTGATCCAAGGAAAAATGTTAATAATCAACTTATTGATCGGCCCCCACCCCGTCTTCAAACTAATTGGTTTCAAACGTTTGTGCAGCAAAGATTTTTCAGGTATTTCCAAAGTTTCCCGGGGTCACTAAAGGTCAACAGGCCAATCACTGCCCAACCCAAACAAAAGTAGCGACAATCAGTTCTGTTACCTTTATGCTGGTTTCTGCACTAAAAAGTTTAACTTGAGCTCCATTGGTTTTGCTTGTTGAAAACGTAGGGAAGTCATATTTAAATTTCAAATCATTCTGGCTTAAACATGTATATAAATGTACTCTTTATCAGACCATATTTTCCCAAAATTTATAAAATTTCTATTTAAAAAAAAATCCTGCCTTAAAATCTGTGTTTTTTCCCCTGTTATCTTTTGCAGGCCAGTTGGTTCTGAACTATGAAGGTTATTTTGTTTCAAAGCTTTTTGTGCATCCAGATGTGAATAGAGACAGTTACATTCTAAGTTTTTATGTGTAGAATAAAAAAAAGACAAGTACAAATTTTTTTACACCTCATATTGAATAATTTAAACCTCTACTCAACAACATTTTAGAATTTTAAATATGTATTTCTATTATTATTATTATTTATTTTGTTATTATTGGCTCACCATCACTAAGGATGTTGATGATTGGGTAATTAAAAAAATAAAAAATATGGCTCTACCTTCCATAACCATCACTTTTAACCTTGAAGACTTTTAGCATGACCGCTCTTGCATATGGATGCTGACGAACTGAAAATAACTCTTCCGGTCTCCTTATTTTCAAGGACCTCAAAGGATCCAGTCCAGGTAGATCGCGTCCTTGGAAGACGCAGCCTTAAATTCAAACGCTTCCTGTGACTGCATATGGAAGGCAACATGGCAGTAGGCCATATATGCATTTCATGTTTTTACAGACTGAACGCGAAGTAGCGCCCCCTGCTGTCTGATCAAGCGTACCTCCCACAAGTCACAGATCATTTTTACCAGTGTGACATTTTTATCAAAAGTAAAAATAAAGGCGTAACTTGTAAAGTTGAATTTGTGACTCATAGCAGCAGATCTGTGCAGTTGTATTAATTGATTTGTATCTGTGTTAAGGAAAAAAAACAACATTTTTTTTAGGGATGCACGATATTGGGATTTTGGCCGATATCCGATATGCCGATATTTTAAAACTCATGTAGCCGATAACCGATATCGATACCGATGTTAAAGCTGGACAAAAATAAGTAGTCATTGAAAATAGCAGTTTTGTTATCCATTTCTGACACTTTGAAAAATAATATACTCAAATATATTTTCATATACTGATATCAAATATATTTTTAAAAACGCGGTATCGATCTATTTTACTTTCAAAATCTGGTGAAATTTCATCGTTCTGTTACAAACTCTCGTGATATTTTGCAAATTCTTGTGAGATTTTGTTAGTAAAATAGATCGATACCGCGTCAATATATCAACATATAAAAATATGGCAACATTTGGTGAATTTTCGGGGGATTTCGTAGCATAACGATGACATATAGCAATATTTCATTAGTAAAAGAGATTGATATGGTGTTTTTAAATGGCGATATATCAGCATATGAAGATAGAAGTTTTTAAGTCTGTAAAAAATAAGTTTTTGAGGAAGAAGAAGAAGTAGTATTTTTATTTTTTTTTTTTAGACTTTAGAAACTCAGAAGCTGATCAAATATCGGGTTAAATATCGGTGGGGATGGCCGATGTCCGATATTCAGTTTTAAGGCCGATACCAATAGGGGGCCGATTATATCGTGCATTTTTTTAAAGATTTTAATACACGTGTTTGAAATTGTTTTGCAGCATTTGTTCTAGATTAACTGTAGCAAAACTAAACGGAAGACATTTCTGATGTGCGACTCATAGAACACAACTTGTGTTCTTGTACTTTTTTGTACTCTTGTACAAAAAAAAATTGTTCTTGTGAATTTATTTTTTATTCTACACATCCAAAACTCCCTCTAGAACTTCAAATTCACACTTACAATGCACGAATAGTTTTGAAACAAAATAACCTTCATTTGATGCACCTAAATTAGCCCAATTTCAATTCAATTCAATTCAGTTTATTTATATAGCGCCAATTCACAACACAAGCCATCTCGAGGCACTTTACAGTTCAACCAGATCATACAGTCAAATTGATACAAAGTTTTCTATCTAAGGAAAACCAGTTGATTGCATTGACTCATTGACTTAAATACAATCCCTCACACTAAGCATGCTTGTAGCGACAGTGGAGAGGAAAAACTCCCTTTTAACAGGGAGAAACCTCCAGCAGAACCAGGCTCAGTGTGAGCGGCCATCTGCCAAGGCCGACTGGGGTTAAAGGAGACAGAAGCAGAGACACAAAAAGCAGCTGTAAAAGGCGGCCCTGTCCAGGAAACACACAGCCAGGCATACGAGCTCCGAGCCAGCTCCCATGCCAGAGGACGAAGAGAGCACATCCACTCAGTCATGGTCAGAGAAACAGGACCACACTGGAAAACAGGCCGGTCTCCAACATCTATAAACAAGGGTGTTGATGGAAGCAGCACAGCTGATGTTTCTTTCCAGGATGGCGTCACAGCCAAACAGGAACAGACGAGGCAAAGCTACTCTGAGGAAAAGCAGAGAGAGCAGAACGTTAGAGATTGAACAAACAGATTCTGCAGAATAGGAGAATAGAGATAGACTGAAGCAGAATGATGAAAAAGGGGTCCCTATGTCCTCCAGCAGTCTAAGCCTATAGCAGCATAACTATAGAGATAGCTCCGGATAACCTGAGCCACTCTAACTATAAGCTTTATCAAAAAGGAAAGTTTTAAGCCTAGCCTTAAAAGTAGACAGGGTGTCTGCCTCACGGACTAAAACTGGTAGTTGGTTCCACAGGAGAGGAGCCTGATAACTAAAAGATCTGCCTCCCATTCTACTTTTAGAAATTCTAGGAACCACTAGTAAACCTGCAGATTGAGAGCGAAGTGCTCTGTTAGGAACATAAGGAACAATCAGATCTCTGATATCAGATGGAGCTTGGCCATTTAAGGCTTTATATGTGAGAAGGAGGATTTTAAATTCTATTCTTGATTTAACAGGAAGCCAATGAAGAGAAGCCAGGATAGGAGAGATGTGATCTCTCTTTTTAATTTTCATCAGAACTCTGGCTGCAGCATTTTGGATCAGCTGAAGGCTTTTAACTACAGTTTGTGGACTTCCTGATAGTAAAGAATTACAATAGTCCAGCCTTGAAGTAACAAATGCATGGGCTAGTTTATCAGCATCACCCCTGGACAAGATATTTCTAATTTTTGCAATGTTCCTCAGATGAAAGAAGGAAATTCTAGAAACCTCTTTGATATGGGATTTAAATGACAGGTCCTGATCAAAAATAACACCAAGATTTTTTACTTTATTATCTGAAATCAGTTTAATCCCATCCAAATGAAGTGACTGGCTAATCAGTTTCTTTTTCAGAGACTCTGGTCCAAAGACTATAACTTCTGTTTTGTCTGCATTCAGAAGCAGAAAATTAAGAGTCATCCAGGTTTTTATGTCTTCAAGACATGCCTGTAATCTATGTAATGGGTTAGCTTCATC